TCACCAACATCACGGCAGCAAATGTCCAAGCCTCAGCAACTGCCGGAGACATGGGCCATGCAGGCATCCATTTGCGAGCATCAGTCATCAGTCTGCCATGCAGGAGGCAATATCTGCCACTCTAAGCTGCTCACGAAGGTCTGTCAAAGACTCTGGCAAAGCTTTTGACAAGATCCTGCAGCTTCTGGCCAATTCGCATTTGTTAAAAACCCTTGAGCTTCACGACTTTGTCCCTTCCCCCACGGCTTTCGTCCTCAATTCCTCCAAGCTCAGGTTAAAGTCAGTGAGCCGAAGCTGGAGCACCATGAGTTGCCGGGGAAGGGCTGCTGCCAGGGCCTCTGACAGCCGCAGAACCTCCGTCTCCCTGCGCGCCTCAAGAGGTTGGTTCGTTCGGCCAAGCGCCAAAGCCGGAATAAGCTGAGGCTGTGGCCAGTGTCATCTGCAAGTCCAGAGCTAAGTGAACCAAGTTGGGAGGCAAAGCCTCCAAACTCCAAACATGCTCTGTTTTTGGGGGGGTTGCCGAGCCGAGGGATGTAAACCGCGTTTCGCTGCCATGCTTGGGCCAAAATGTACGGCTGGAGAAATGCCTGGCATAGCAGGGAAGCCCCAGCAGCTGATGACCTTGGATGGCACGATTCTGATCTTACTGCCAACAAAGTCTTTTCATAAACTGAGGAGGCTACTCTAGCATCAAATGCAGTTTTTCCAGGCCTTATGTGACATGAAAACGACACTTCGAAAGATCTGATATTGCCCCATTTTCTCAGCTGGAAACTTGCTGGAAGTGCGGATGCAAGCTCCTCACACCCACAGCGGCCGGGCGAGGACCAAACACCCTGTGGCCCCAGAAAAAAGACTGTGATGCCAGTCCTTTGGCCCGATGTGTTGGCTTGGACTCGACGGATTCGACCGAAGAAAGAGCCCGTCTTTTCGAGCCGAGCGGGCACTCCTCCGTGCCATTGCTTTCCACACCAGAACCCAGCCATGCCTCAATCCAACGTCTCGTCTCATCGTGTCATGACATTTCGGGTGTTTTCCCAAACGTGTCATGGCGACAATGGTGTCATGCTGCTTGGAGATTCAGAGTTGTCGAAGCCACCTAGTTCCGTACCGTGAAAAAAACAGGGCACCACTAGTGATTGACATGCTGAGCCAAGAACAAAGGAGCGGCCGTGGAAAAGGAGGCGAAGCTCCCGCAGACTGAAGGCTTACGAAGTCAGCTCAAAAGGATCGGAAAAGAAGCGCCCGACATAGTTGTCTTCTTCGGAAGTGGACCAAGGAAAACCTCTGCCTTGATGGTAAACATCTTGCCACTGCTTGTGCATCGGTCGAGCTGAAGTGGTTCAGATCCTGCCGAACTTCGCACCGACCACGTGCCGCGGGTCCGAGGCCTCCGGGCCACGGCCCCTGAGGCTCCGGGCCAAGCCAAGGCGGGTGAGGTGTTTGGGTATCGCACCCACCAAATCTGCCAGCACACTATCTCCAGCCAACAAACACCTGGAACCAAACGATGCAAAATGATATCAAACAATGACAGCCTGGGCTCCGAGAGTCGAAGAAAAAGGGCTGAGTGCGCCACCCTCCCCGCAGATTCGCTTGAAATGAGTCCAGCCACCACCTGGAGAGATGGTGACTATAGGCGGGAAGCCAATCGAACGGATGCCAAGGTTGGGACGGCAAGGCGGCAGACAGTGCACCAGCCAGAACTCAGTGTTCAGAAATAGCGCATGTCTCTTGCCCTTTTCAGAAACCGCATGTCTCTGGTCACGTTCCCGCCCAAGTTTCGACTCCCTGGCCTGAGACGGCTTCACTGCGGGTGGCACGGGTTTCCCCGGTGACCTCGTGCTGGCAACGCCGAAAACTTCCACGCACTCGACTCCGGAAGTGGCTGTGTCACTGGGGCCATCCGACCCGTGGCAGCCGGGGTGGAGCAATGTGCACACAAACTTCCTGCCCAGGTGTGCTGCTTTGGCAAGTGCCAAACGGGATAGTGCTAGGGCAACCGTCAGTGCCAAACGGGCCACCGAGTTGAAACCTGGGAACTATCTCAAAGACCCCACCAATCTCGTCGTTCCATCCCTGTCATTCCCAACTCGTTTCTGGCCTTTAAGGCTGTGAGCTGATCCCTCATTGCAGCCAGCATTCTGAGAACTGCTTCACCTTCAGATCCAGAAGCCAAACCTGTCCAAAGCTGTTCTGGTTGCTGATGCTTGCTGATGCCATCATGAAGGATCCGAAGGCAACAAGTCTGAGCATCTCACTTGGGATAGCAAGCCTCACTAGGAGATGTGGTGAGATCCTGCCCAGAGGCTCTTCAAAATGAAGGAAAAGCAAACAGATTCGTCCTGCCGATGAGAGGAGCAGTACCACCCCGTTCGGTCGAATGGCTTCCGAGGACCGGTCTGAAGACCGGTCGCGACCGTTCGGGGCTCGACCGTTCCGCGGTGTTCCTGTCAAGGTGTCTCAAGGCAATGGATCCCGGCAAGGAAGCTGAGCCGGTGAGAAGCCGGCCACGTCCATCCCGTGATCCTGGCAGTGCCGGAAGCACGAAGTGCCACTTGGTTGGCACAGGCACAGGCACCGTGCTTGTTGATCTCGAAACCTCCGGCGCCGGACACCGGCGAGACTGGGGTCCTGCAGCAGTTTCACTGCAGCATGGCACGGCTGCCGCCACCTGCCGCATGGCACGGGCCCCGGGACAGAGGTGGAAACACCCGGTGCGGTGAAGGGATCTCTCTTCCCACCTCCAGGTGCTCGCAAAAGCCCAAGACACTGCTCCAGGCCTCACTGAACCCGGATGACTCCACACTGAACTGGCGCCAGTTGAGTTCTCCCGATCTTTTGAGACACCCACGGTGCGCTTCTGACAGAGTAAACCGACTTGCAAGTATGCCTATGTGTTTCTTAGAAGCTGTGGCTCGAACGTTCCCTGCTCCAAACAGAAGCATCAGGGCAACCTTCCAATTTGGCTGCAGGCAGACTGAAGCTTAACATGACTTATATGATCGCCAGCCTGTTCCTTTGGAGGACCAGCTGATGTCTGGTCCTGCCCAGCTGAGTAATCAATTTTACAGTGCCTAAAAGCTGAAAGTGTAGAGTAGCGAAGCAAGAGTCAAGCCGCAGTGCCTCCTCTGATTGAGGCATGTTCTTGCTGCAGTGGCCTCAATCGGTGAAACGGAAACGCCAGCTTGCTGCCCCATTTCCGAATCTGCAGAACGATCTGAATCGCCTCGTCGCATGTCTTGTGGCCAGTTCTCCGCCTAGGGGGAGACTCCATGGAAGAGAAGTCCAAGTGGATCTGGAATCAATCGGACACATCAACTCGCCTGGAGGTAGGCCAACAGCATACTCCAGGCGATCCAGCAATTGCAACACGTGGACCTGAAAAGGAACCCTGTACTGAGTGACCCAAATTGGGAGAGGCCAATGCGTCCTAATCTTGCTGCCAGGTTGCTCTGGTGCAAACAGCTGCGTTCCGATCTTCGGAAGTTCTTGGCTATCTGCTTCACTTGCAGGGTGAAACTCTGTGGCGTTGCTGGCGCCATCTCGGCATGCCTGTCACTTGGGCAGCTTCACGGCTGGCCTTGATGATGGAGTTTCTGAAAGAACGGCCTCGCCAACTGCTTCGCGACCATGGAGCCTCAGAACTCGTCATCGACCTGAAAACTGACCTGACCTAGGAGCAAGGGCATCGCTACTAGCTACTAGGAGCCAGGACGCTACTAGGGGCTCCTGGCCTTACTACTAGGAGCACGAAACTACGAACGGGGGCTCCTATGTCTGCCTTTGGCTGAGGCTACTGTATGAGAGCTGGGAGGCAGACTGTGAAGAGGAAGATGATGGAAGCAGCACGGCCTACTCAAAAATGATTGTCTTTGCCACATCGACAGGCCCTTGAGCAAACCTTCAGGCGCCCTTATGGCTCCTCAATACCGACCCAGTTCCGATTCTCAGGGAGCACGATGCTCCCGAGGTGCTTGGACCCGGTCCACCTCGGAGAAGGCTCCTCTTCTGCGGCGTCCGGTGCCAAGTCCTTTGAAGAAAAGCTAGTAACAAGGACGCTATGCTCGGTGGAGGCCATCGCAAGTAGGTCGGAGGCCACCCTCGTCGCACGGAACCATCATCCAGCAAAACTCTCCTCCATATGGGGCAGCTGCCACCACGAGACCCACATCATTCGCCATGACAGGTGGACTCAAAGTGGTATTCCTTCAAAACAAAAAGGATCTCGTCACGTTTCTATATTATGTTTATCCGTGCTGAAACAGGATGAAAACGGATCGCCACACTTGGCCACACTTCAGCAATCTTCAGCACATCTGCACATCTTTTACTTGACAAGAAAGTTCACTGCAAGACTGTAGGAACTAATACCAAGCGGGTACCCTTGCATGAAGCTTCCTCAATGCAGATGTAAGACCAAATCTGGAACACAAGCGGCTTTGGCGCGAAGAGTGACATCTATGAGCTTGGCCAGTGTTTCCGGAATTGCTTAATAGATCTGACATAATGGCCGTCAATCAAGCTCAGCCTCCTGATTGCTTTCACAAACGCCCACTTCTCCGGAAGAGCAGACTTTTTTCAGGTCACTGCGTGATCCCCCTTTGGAAACCAACGTTGAACAGTGAAACATGAGATGCAAGTGCCTGCAATGCTGGAACTTGCCCACTAGAAGCATCTAGAAACTCTGAGTGACCGAAGAACTTTGAGTGATTCATTTGACTACAGTGCTACAGGTTCCACCTCTGGATGCAAGCACAAGTGCATGCAATCTTTCCCTCTTCCAAAAATAGGTACAGCCGCCCTAGGTGCTGTCAAGGAGCTTTCGGATGCTGTTTTGCAAACGCTTTTGGAATCCACAGAGACATCTAGCAACTTTTCAGGTAAGTGTGTTCGAGTCTTCAACAAAGTTTCTCCGACTCGGCGACAGCTCCGTCTTCGCGCTCGAATTGATGGCTCATGTCAGCCATACGATACATGCATACCTTGACACGGTGTCTTCAAGTAAGCTGACCTGTATCATTGAGGCCCACGGACATTGTCCACGGCAGGTGAGACTGGCCGAAGTGCGTCAGCCCATTTCGCAGTGGACGCAGCTTTGGCCTTGGTGCTGCCAAAGCAAGTTTCAAGTCAATGAAGTGTAGCAGCAGACTGAGCCAAAAGCTCGTGGCAAAAAGGAAGCCGCTACCAATACTGGCCAAGATTAGTGGAATAGCTGGCATAGCTGGTGCTCTGCGATTGAATTGATTCATCATGCACCCAAAAGAGTTGATGTCAAAAGGAGGCAAAAAAAAGGGCATATAGCAGTCCTCCTCATCGTCTTGATCGTGCACAATGGGAGGCGGCTGCGCTGTGGCCATCATGGCCTAAACGGTCGAGCCGAGTCACCGAGTCTGTGAGAGACCCTCTCCCGCGGCCAGTGTGTGTGGATTCACGCAACAAAAACGAACTCAGCACCCAACACTGGCGCGAGTCTCATGGTCATCTTCTTCACCACCGAGATTCAAGTGCCTCGGGACCCCGGCTCAACTTCATGTGCACACGCGGACGCGACACGTGTCGCGCGGCCGCGAAACCGCTCGCGGCACGTGCCGTGCGCGACACGTGGTGTTCCTGCTGTGACGGTCCACGCCTGTGCACGACCACCTGTTGCTGCATTGCCAGCAATCGCACCTGTGCACCGGGACACGTCACGAATCATCCGGTCAGGTGAGGCGTGCCGCTTGTGCTCAGGCCCACCTCCCAAGGAATAGCCGGGAAGAGCGTGGAGATGAGTATCCTGAAATCAAGCAATTCATATCATTCCATATCCAGCCATTCTGAAGAATGCCGAAAAGTAGCCAGCATCCAACACAATGCGCTTGCGACACTGGCCTAAAGCCAATCATTGCATGCTCCACGACCATGAAAAGTAGGATCTTGTGGAAATGACTCCTGGTGGCAGGCTTTCAGAGCATGCTGTCTAGTGCAACTTGAGACAGAAGCACTTTCTTCATGAGCCGTGTTGTCTCAGCTCCAGCTCTGAAAGACGTTCGAAGCAAAGACCACGACGGCCGTGTTGGTGGCCATTGCAAGCCTCACGGCAGAGCATATCAGAGCTCATCAGTCTCCAAGCCGAAACCTGTGAACCACCGTGAACCCTTTGCTCTCAGGCCCACACATGCCGAAGACATCAAACGCCGTGTCCCAGGGCTCGTTGTTGGCTGCAGGGTCCGGAAAGGGCCTTGTGACATTGTGCAGTGCACAAGAGGTCATGTAGACAAGACATGGATCAAACCCATTGGTTGGGTATACAACATAACTTTCTTTGACTCAGCCAGCATGCAAGGCAAGAAGGGAGTTTCTGATCGTTCGAGAGGTTATCCAGTTGTTGATGTCATCCATTTCTGCCATTCACCGCAAGCAACCCCACTTAAAGGGTGGCAAGCCATCATGTCTGCCCTCCAATCAACGCAAGCTTGACTGCAAGAACCTCTGAGATGGCATAAGGTAAGGGACAGCACAACGAACAGAATCAAAAGCCATGACTGACACAAGCCTGCGATACAACAATACAAGCTTCTTCTGATCCAGGAAGCACCTCAGGTGGCATAGATCAGCGTAGATGTGCACAGATCAGAGTCTCCAAGGAGGATTAAGAAACATCAAGAAGGTCATTACACAGCAAACCGCGCACAAACTCTGGGACGCGAACTCCAGGACCAAGCTGATGAGTGCAATCAGTGGGATCTGCCATACACCCATGCACCACAACTAGACAATCTAATGTCTTTCATCACAACCGACATGGGTTGATTACGACGTCGAGATCGCAAGGTTTGGCAGGCGGACCCAAGGGCATGCCACAACGAAGAGCACTGTATAGCCGTAGAGGATCAATACCTGAAGAGGGGTTGATCCCGCACCAGTGACGAAAAGTGGATCTCTATGACATGCTGACCTCATCCATGTCCTGGTACACGTCATAGTCCTGGACATGATGGCAAAATTGTGTAGCTTGTTGAAAAGTAAAAGATCGAGAAAAACGACACATCCATGCAAAATCCTTTGAGCAAGACCGCCAGAAAGACAGCTCCAACAGCCCCACGCCTCTTTCTTGCTTTGCTTCTCGGGGCTGGAGAGGTCAGGCCTCATGCTGAATTCTTTGCAAGGGGTCAGTCATCCAGGCAAAAGTGGCTGATCTTGGCCCTCGACATGATGGTCATGGGGTTCCTGGCAAGCAGGAACCAAGTGCGGTAAGGCTCCCAACCACCCAGAACCGGTCGATCGGAATCTTGAGTTCGCCAAAGGGAATGAACATGTGAAATTGAGTTCCAACACGATGTCCGCACAACTAAAGGAGCCAGCCCGACGTGAAGAGTGTGGCGTCAAAGTTGAAGGCAGATTCTGGCCAAGTTCGGATACAGGGCAGGGGGGCGGACGGTCCGACATGGTCCCCAGTCATCACGAAGTGACGTTGGTGCCGCACCCAGTGGGACGCAGGGACCGAGTGGGACCGAGTGGGATCGTGCCCTGCCTTCCGTCATGCGCCGGTACATCATCACAGCATACCTCGGCCAAACGGTGGGTGTTCTTCTTTTTTTCGCGTTTTGGGCGGATCAAAGCTTTTCGGTGTTGGGAACAAACTGCTCTGAGCAATTGTCGTTGAGCTCCGAACGGTCCACCAAGTTCAATCATGTTCTGCAACGTCAGCCTGCGAGGACTCGGACTCGCCCCCCGCGCGGAACAGGCGGCAGCTGCGGCATTTCGGCAGGGGCCGAGTTGTGCAAAGGCCGCAGATTCACAGATTCCACGCCTCATGATCATGAAAATCGCCAGCTGAGAGCCCAGGTCGTTTAAACCTCGAACTCAGCTGAGTCAATCAGAATGTGGACACACCTTGACGTCTCATGTTGGAAGGTGTTCATCTCATGTCATGAGCCGGCTCGGAGCATCTCAGAGCTAAGCTGCCGGCAGTCATCGTTCACACAAGTCATGGGCATTCCGAACAGGTATGAGTGTTCCTGTCGTGTGAAACGGTTGGGGATCAAGGAGACGGAGACTGCTTAAACGAACGAGATATATACTGTAATGAAAAAAAGGTTGGCGAAGCTGGTTGCACATTCGGCCTTCAAGAAGGCAATATAGTACAAGGACACGTAGCAGTTGATGAACTTGAAGACCACCATTTTGGCCTCGTTGATTCAACATGCAGGTTTGCGCAAGCACCTGACCAGGTCACCAGTATGTTTCACCCATGACCACCGCCCGTGGCCGAACTTGCGTCTTTTGGGGCCAAGACCAAAAGATGATTTGCATGCTCGGAGTAGGACCGATGGTTCTCTCGGTCCTGCCAGGGTTTCAAACGAAGGAGGCGTCCTCCTCCGACTTCGCCGCTTCTCGCATCGCGGTGTGAACGCTTCTTTCCCGTGCGCATCGCGACGACGCACGGCCAAAAGCATCGGAGCTCCGTGAGCCAGGTGGCGAGGCTGGTGAAGAGAGTGTTCAAGAGCTCGACCACCAGAGCATTGATCACCTTGGCATCCGACAACAGCCGGCCACAGGCTGACGCAACGAACGCGTCGAAAGCACGGTTCGACCTCTCCGGGCCTGGAAAGTGATCCGGCCGCCGTGCTTGTGAAAGGTGTGGCGAAGAACCATCAAGATGCCCACCGCAAAGAAGAGCGAAATCAGTGAAACCTGGGCAGCTGCGAAGTCTGTGGCCTTGACTGAAGCACATTTTGAATGTTTGTGTCCCACAGCAAACACCTTGATGTGTCTCCTAACTCTCGACGACCTCAACTTTGTTACTGGCAATTCTCGCTCTTGGATCCAAATACCATATCTTTTTTGCAAACCAAGAAACAAGAATGACTGAGTAGCTGAAAAGCACCTTCCAGATTCGCTCGCTCCAAGGATAATACCTCAGGCTCCCCAAACGGTCAGGACACAACTGGGGTCGGAGGTGGTTGGTTTGGAGATGCTTGGAGGTTCCCATGAATCGTGAACCACGTGAAGGTCGGGTGTGCAAAAGAACTAGAGACCCCCCAAGCTGGCTCGGCTGGCCGGGCTGAATCGTCCATGTGCTGGACGAGACTTTCGCCGACCACACGAGACTTTCACGGAGACTTCCGCACCGAACAACGCCGCCACATGAAAAAGTGCTCTGCTTCTCGCTGAAGCCATACTAGTAGCTTCTTGGTAGCAATGGCCTCCAACCTAATAGCGCTGGCCTCCACCGAGCATAGTGTCCCAAGTACTGAGGTCTGCACCGGTCCACCCTGCTGGTCACAGGATTGACGCGACTCACCTCGGTCGTGGAGTCAGAGCCACGTGCTGTGCAGCCGGGGGATTCCCACCACGACTTACCCCCGGTACGCGGTGCACAGCCTTCTGGACAAATCAACAAAGGTTACCAAACGAATGATGCGAATGGTTCCTCTGCATTGATTCCAGCCACTGCCTGCTTGCTAAGCTCTCTGCTCCGTAGAACTCGGGTCGAGTAGTTTCAGGCTTCTTCTTCATGGAGAAAGTGCCCCACCTTGTGCGCAGGAGTTCAATACCTTTCTCCAATATGTTGCACCCTTCGAACTTGATTCATCTATACTCATCTCAGCCAGCAGCTTCAAAGCATAGAGATTGGTCTTCCTTCGCCAGAAATGGATGAAGGTGGTCGAGAACATTCCCACACCTCAGCTTTTTGACGAAGCCAAGTCTTCCGTTCGCCGTCCGTTGGCCGTTCGCGGCCTATGCAAATGAAGACCACCGTCACGTTGTTGGGCGTTTGGTAGAAAAGGTCCACCACCTGGCTGCAGCGCGTATGAAACATTTTAGGACCGTGGTCTGAGGCATGTTGTCATGTCCATCTACATGTATGCACTGTCAGATGCATGCAGGAGAAATAACTTTAATATATAAGATACTCGGTTGAATTCTTGAAATCCAAAGAGAGCAGCCATAACATGCCACACACGCAGGAAAACGGTCACACCTATGTGTTTCTCAAAACGTGCGCACATGTTGTTGACTTGATTGCTAAGAGTGCCACACACAAGAAAGTCCCAAATATTGTTGGGATGATCATCCACTTGATGAAGTGGGACCTCGCTCAAAACCACGCGATCATGTCCAAACCCGCACTCCAAATTCGGTTGGGAGTCCAAAGAAGAAGGAATCAACTGTTTGCAGCTAAAGGGGCCCCAGTCTCCTGGCCATCAACTCCTTGTATCCTTTTCAGCCTCTTTCATGTCACTCCTTGAGTTTCTGGCATGAAGAGAAAGTACAACGCGATTCGCTCGCCAAAGTAGTCTCTGACCTGCACCAAGAAGGCAGATCCAACAGAAAGCATCTGATCCCGAGCGCAAGAAACGGATCTAGCATGATCTAGCGAGCATGTCGTATGGCTCAACCCAGGTGTATAATAATGCTTCCTGAGCATCTTGCAACCGTCGAAAAGACATCGGAGACCTACCGGTTCGCCCTGGAAACGGCCGCGGAAACGGAAGTGGTGGCCTTGTGAATGTTTCGGCCCATGACGAAGGTCTTGAACCAATCCTTGTCCATGTCTTCCAGCTCACCTATCAAGAAGCAATCGGCCATCATCTGTGCCGTGAACCACTGTGTGCAAGGAGAACAAAGAAGTCACCAAGTGGGCCAGGCAGGCGTTGCTCATGGAGTGGAAAGTAGTGGATCAAGTCGCCACTTAGCATGGCAGGATGGTCACAGACATGTCAAACAACGCTGCCAACACGGTCAAGGAGAAGTTCAGATGGTCCAAGTAGACGCGAAACGTTCCGCGTCTACTTGCTGAGTCAAGGACTCGTGAAGCAATTGACCGACATCAACGCCAGCACAATTATGATCTCCGCTTCGTACCTCTGAGATTAACGATACAACATAGTCACGTATTGATACTCATGTATAGCTTCGTACCTCACTGATATAAGATAGACAGTCACCTACGGTCACGACGCGCGCCAGCTCAACTTGATGAAAACTAAGCCAGCTCGACTTGCATGAGGGATTATATAGTCGGAACACTACCCAGCTTGCCCCCAGAAGCATACGGGGTGTTTGGTGAGCCACAGCGGCATTCCAATGAGCCTCCCTCACAGGACCCTGTCCTCCCTCTTCAAACAGGCATGGGCACAATGTGGTCAATCAGGCGAAGCCGATCAACCGTGCGGAAAATGGCATCTGACCACAGCGAACGTTCCGCATTCGCAGCCGGCAATTGGAAATGATGGGACCTTTGGTCTTCAAATTGGCACAGCTCAAAAAGGAAACTACCATGTCAGACAGGTTTGTCAAAACTCAATCTGACATGTCTATATATATATATATACATATACAGTATACAGTATACATTGCTGTGCTCGATAAACCAAGGTGTCTCATGGCGGTCTTATTGGCAAATCTCTCCATTAAGAGAAAAAACGTTTGGAAAGTCCGTCACCACGCCATCCACGGCCCCCCGCCATCCGGCATCGTCCGGCATAGCGCCGTCTCAGCGCCGTCTCCGGCCTTTTTGAGGGTAGTCACCCTCCTTGGACTTCTCGAAATGCGTCTCGTACAGGTGGGAGACCTCTTGGAGGCCCAAAGCCAGAACGGATGAAGCTTCTTGAAGTCCAACATGTAGTTGTTTTGGGTTCAATTGGCGCGTGAACCGCAACGGGAAGACCCCGAAGAAGAAAAAAGGGGAGTCTGACTCTGACCCCCGTTTCCTTGGACGGCATCTTGCCGGATCTCCCAAAGGCCGAAGAGCTTTCAAGGACTGTCAAAAGACACTAAGCAACTCATTTTAAAAGACCGGTCATCGCTTTCCATCGGGTCAAAAGCTGAGAGTCCAGGCAATGCAACGATCACTATAGTTCAAGTCCCGGCGACCTGGACCAGGCGATGAAAACCGCCACGACTCGTCGTACCCCGACCGGGCCGACCGCGGTCGTGGTACATCGGTCGACCGGTCGGCACCGGTGAACACCCGGGTTGAGGGTCGAGGGTCGACGTGGTGGGGGAGTCGATGGAAGACCAGGTGTTAGGTCCAACGCAAGCCGATGGATGCCTGGATAGTCATTCTTGTAGTCCGCAAAGGCTGAAAGGTATTGCCTCACAGTCGGTGCACCGGCGATTTCAGCGGTTGAAGTACGCATGACTCAGAGATGAAAGCTATGTCCTTTAGAAATGTGTTTGAGCCATCCGAAAGGCCAAGGCCGGAGACAGGCCCCAGGTCCGCTTGGAACCCCAACGGCTTCAGTTCCAGCTGGTAGCGGATCATCTCGGCCACCTGCCAGCTAACCAAGAACTGTTGGGTTTGGTTTCACCACAACCTTTCCAAACTCCAAACCTATGGATAAAAAACATGAACACGACACAATTGAACACACCATCTTGCATATGTATGGTACTATATGGCTAGGCACCCAAAAAGAACCGACTTTTTTTGTGTCGACATCGTTTCGTCATTGCGTGACACAGACAAGTTGACTTGAAGAGTATGCAGAAGCATGAGGACAAGTGGTTCACATTGACATGACCAAGGACTACAGCTACACCAGATAGTACAGAGGATACGTGCAGCAGCAGGCATTGACAGATATTTTTTTGCAAACAAGTGGTTGCTTAGGCTTCCTTGGAGAATTGTTCGTCTCCCAAGCTCACGATTCCCCAGTGCACTGCCACAGGTCTTCTTGTCTGTGCCAGTACTCGTAAAGGAGCCTAAGCTTTTGAGGAAAGTGACCCTTGAAACACCTTGGAGGAAACAAGCAAACAAGTGGCTGCAAACTAGTTCAAATCAGTAGGGTTCCCGCAGTGTTAAGTAGAACTTCCTGCACAGGTACAGGTTTCAGCAGCAAGCAAAAGCAGCAAGCACAACAGCTGAGCCCATGCTCTTTTCATCCACCAAGCGTTGCTGATGTCTTGCACGATTTGTCTGAATCCGTCTGCAAGCAATCTCCAATCTTCAATCTTCAATCCTGTGATTCAAGGAATACTCCGAAATATGTCAAAACATTCCTCTATTCCCAAATGTTTCGAAATGTGTCGAAATGATGATACCCCTAGAATGTTGACAAAATGTTGGTTTTCTGTCTTTGTGCGGGACCATATATATATACATACATATACAGTATATATGTACAAAAATACACAGACAGACATAGAGAGAGAGAGAGACATGCCAATCTGGGTGTTCAAAACGCCACACCCTAACGCAGCAGCGGTTAGCAGGCTTATAAGACACAAAATACACCATCCAGTTGTGAGGGTCATCTGCCTTTCAAATACTGAGCAGCACGCCAACCTCTTCTACCAATAGGTTTTTGAAATTCTATTCCACTGCCAGCCATGGAACCTGTCGGAGGTGTAGAGGATCTGCTGCGATTCGGACCTTGCCATCAGAACAGCTGAACAAAAGAACATCATTGCATGCAGCACAAGACTTCAGTGTCAGACAAAGATTTCATCTCGATCGCGAGAGTAGTAGAGCATCAGGACCTGAGGGGATGGATGCCATGGGATGCTCTGCTTGCGACAAAGTCCCGTAGTCTCCATGGAAAAGCAAGCTACCATGTCTCGAGGCTTGTCGATCTTCTGCGGGGTCAAACACCCACCAGTGCATCCGGCTGAAAACGTGGAAGAGTCTCTTGAGGCTTCCGCCAGACCCGTGTCACTGAGTGAGTGGATGACCATATTCCTCTTGGCCTGACATGCTCCCGACGTCATTAAAACCAGCTCTAAAAAATGCTTTGGCATGCTATCCTAACGGAAACTCCAAATTGTCCTATATAACTTGTGAAAGAAAAACATTTAACCAAAAAAAAGGGTGGATGGATTACAGTAAACTCACAGAGCCTTCCAAGACTCCATCTGACGGATCTGCTCCTCGGTCGGCTGTCGCAAACCGCGCTGCTCCTGGCAAAAGCTGGCTGTAAAGATCAAAAGAATGACTCCTGGACTTCACTACACCAAGCTAAAACCCCCAAGAAGTCCAGTTGTTGCAAAGGAATAGAATCTAAACTCATTCTTTCGAAATCCTAGTCCTAGCCTCCTCTGCTGCAGCATCACCCCAGCGCAGCGTGGAGTGGGTCTGTCAGAATATCTCGCATTTTTGTTCATACATTTGGGTTGAGAATCAATTGCTACGAACAACCCCACACGGGTGCTCAGCTCATCAACACGTTTTCTGCCGAGGCAGAGCTGCCCTATCGCAAGAGCGCTTCTAATCTGCAGGATCTGCAGGTGCTATGCTCACATAGGGCTCCAACTCAGCAAAGTTGCCACGCAGGGCTCCCTCCGGATACCCGGCTTCACTGTAGGCTTGGGATGCGAGACCCTCATAGCCTAACCGTTCACTTCGTGTAGATCAAGTCGTAGTGCCTAAGCCAGTCACCAGGTCGTGAGGTCGTGAGGTCCAAACATGCCATGCACCAGCAGAGCTTGCTCTGTTGCTTCTTTCTTTTCTTGGAGGCTGGGTGCCCGGCCCGGGTCGATACAGCAGGTGGATGGGAGTACATGGTAAACTGGATTCGTGGGCCTCGCACGTGGAAAACAGGACGTCCGGAGTCCGTGGTTGAGCGCGAGTCTGACATTCCCAAACGACCAGGGCGCCACCTGTGTTCTCCCAAAGTTTGGAAAGGCAACTCCTCTACGACTCTACCGTGTGCGAGTCTCTCTTGTGAGTCATCGTTTCTTTGACGTGTATGAATTACAGTAGACCTCTTGAACCCTGTTTGAAACCCAAACACCCCCAAAAAAAATAACGCGTCGCTGACACCTTCGTTCTTCTAAAAAACAACAGAGTTCTGCGCAGAACGGTGTGCTCTTCGCCCCTCCGAAGAACCTGGGTGTGACGGGTGTGAACCTCGTCTGCTCGGTCTCCAGACAAAGGGATGCTCGGCCGTCGCGCCCTCAGAGCGATCCAAATAAACGACGGTGACCTCGGTTTCATCGTGTGTCATCCGGGTCGGATCCATCATGTTAGACACATACAGTACATAAATCATCGATCATTACAATATATACATATATGTATATATGTGTGTGTAACATATACATGTATATATATATATATGGCATGTATATATACCGTATTTATATAATCCTTTTTCTGATCCTTTTGGTGAGTTCAAGTGAGATGTCACATGGTCCATCTGTTGGTTTCGTGTCTTATGAGCTTACATCCTTTTCTAGCCGATTCGGGCTTCGTGTTGAAAAAAGTCTCATGAGATTGAGGTCAACAGGTCAGAGTTGAATTCAACGGAGCCGCGTTCATGTTGGGGGAAAGAAGGAAGAACAACTGTGACAACAGATGTCATTCACTTAGGTATGAGGTGCTTGAGAAAGTGATCTTGCCCAACAAGCCGCAGGACTGAAATGCCGTTTCAATGTGTGCGTCGTGGATTCCGAATCCCAAAGAGGCCACCGGTCCTTTTCGCCACATCTTCAAACGGCCACGTCGAAACCGCCTCAGAACCCACCCGACACCGGAACCCGGCTGGCACCGCCAAGAAGGATGACAGGGCCATGATCTGCAGGTGGTCTGCTTCAGTGTCCATCGGATCGACCTGCTCCGACAGTCGGTCGACGGCGGGGAAGGGCGGGGGGTAAACGCCTCCTGCGCGCAGAACTGCTGGATGGAGGAATGCGACGTCAAGAAGGAGGCAAAGTCCTGCGAGATTTCGTCCCAGCTGCGAGCAGCTGCGAGGCGAAGCGCAGGCGCACAGCTTCAGGTAGGGTCACAAATGTCGCCCCTGCCTGCTCGTGACGCTTCAGGTAGGCTGACCTGAAGCTGGAACTTTGGCCTTTGCCAAGTCTGCTAAGTCCACCATTTGGTTGGAAAATACCGACTGTTCTTGGTTTGCCAGTCTTCACTAGGCACAAAACTAGAAGGAGTAGTGAGTAAAGCTACAACCCTCTCGCATGCGAGCGGCGTGAGCACTCGCGCCCAGCACACCAGGTAGCGATCATTGTCATTCTCTTCCCACATTGCCTCTAACCACATCATGTCAAATAGATATCGCACGCAAATGCTCCATGGCATGTTCCGGAAAGTCCTGGACCAATCTCTTCTCCCACCTCCAAAGTCGAAGTAGACACACCCTCCGAGACCTTTGCAGCCATCTCCATGAACTCATCGTAGAACCCCTCGATGGCCACCTGACCACGGTGATGTACCACCATCCACCAGAGGAGGGTCGTGGAGGATGGACTGGTGAAACGTTTTGCGCGAGTCAAACCGGTTGAAGAAATTGTTGTTACTAGTAGTAAGAATGCTCCTAGTAGAGTCCTGGCTCCTAGTAGCGATGCCCGGGTTCCTAGTAGCTTCTTGCTCCTAGTAGTATGGCCAGGAGCCCCTAGTAGCTTCTTGTTACTTGTAGTAAGAATGCTCCGTTCGTAGCGATGCGAGGAGCCCCGTTCGTAGCGTCCGATCGCTCCGTTCGTAGTAATGCCAGGAGCCCCGTTCGTGCCTTTGAACAAGACCAGTGATCGGAGGGTCTCGTCATCCGCTTTCGGTTTCTGCGACTCCTCGCCTCTTCGTACCCAGCTTCCACACAGAACTTCAGCGCCTCCTTCTGTCGAGCCAGAAATGCTGTGGCCAGCTCCTGGCATCCGTCAGACAAAGAACACGCTTGCCCATGAGACCGAGAGCAACAACTCCGCCATCCCTCTCGACTAGTACATACTAGTTACATACTAGTATATACCAATGAAATCCAATGAACAGAATGGACATCCTACCGGACGTCGTCAACACCCATGGTTTGACCCTCGCTCTCTTCATCCTCTTCAGAAAAGAATGTGTCTGGCGGCTCCTTGTTGCCAGCCAGTTGCTCGAAGATGCCGAACAAGTAGGCCCGATAGAAGCCTGAATTTGGCCAAAGTTCAAGCGCAATCAAAGCCTTCCATGCAAATTCAGCTGAAATACTTCTCCATACCGTTGCACCCAAAGTCGAACGTGACACGTTTTGAACTGTCGAGACCTAAACCAAACGAAACGAGTACTTTGCTCTCCAACAAGTTTGGGCATCCGTTCTTAAACCTTTATGCAGGCAAGAAGCTACTAGGAACAAGTGCATCGCTAGTAGTAACAAGTGCCTTACTAGTAGTAACAAGGACGCTAGTAGTAAACCGTTATCATCATTTCTCCATTTCTCCATGTCTTGCGAATCGACCACTTGTCTCGACAAGATTCAGCTTCCATCAGGTCGGCTTCGACCTCGGCTCGCGCGGCTCGGCGCTGGGCGAACCCATCGCAGGTTTGACCCATCGGGTGATCGCGGCGAAGCGAAGGCGCGGGCGCAGCACCTCGAAGCGCTCGACGAGGGCACCCACCTGACACGTCGTCCATCGCTGGTAGAGCCGAAGAGTGACCGCGTAGAGATTCCTCGTGAACTTCTAGATAACAATGAAAAAGTAGTTGCCTACTAGCGATGGCCTCAAACCAAAAAAAGGAAATAGCCCCTCCAACCTAATGAGAATAGCCTCCAACCTACTTCTTCCCGTTCTTTGTCCACAAGTATAGCGAGGTTCTTCTATCCTGACTACAGAGTGGCTATCGGACTGCGGTTTGTGCATCCATCGTCCACTCAGGGGACCGTCGTCGACTCAGGGGACCGTCTGGTCTGGTCTTTGTCGTGCCAAGTCTTGGTCCTTGCTACTAGTAGCGTCCTTTGCTCCGTTTGAAGCGAGGCCAGGAGCCCCTAGTAGCATCCTTTGCTCCTAGTAGCGAAGGCCTCTCTTGCTCCTTGCTAGTTCCTATACAAGCACCGATGATGCCTTCATTTCAGGTACCCCCCAGCAAAAAAAAGGCTCCGTACATTCCCTACCACATGTCAGTTACATCTTCACTCATCATTGCGACGACACATACTTGGGAAGACCGGGCCTTCTTCAAGAAATCTGGGTTCTCTGCATATTGCGCCTCGCATCTGCAGTTTTCACACACGGCATTCCTTCATTTCTCCTCATTCTGCCGATCCGTAGTTTCCGTGGCCTTCAAGTCTGCCACAGCGGAGCGTGGTCCTACTGCCGCCGCTGCTTCCGCCTGGCAGAAAGGACACATGATTTAGAAAACAAGTTAAAGCCTAAGGCAAGCAGAAGAAGTATCTTCTCTTCCTTGTTTTGAAGTTGAAAACTTCACTGATCATTCAGTGTCTGATCCTTCTCCCGTTTAAGTTTTAAGACTTCTTTTTTGAGCCTCTCCCTCCATCTCGGTGCACAGTGCCCATGGCTGGCGCTGTAGAACCGAGACCGTGGAAACACGCAATGCCGAAACACTGCCCTCCTCACATGTGCAGCTGTCAACGTCAAGACCACCTCCACAACCTCTCTGTTTACCAACAGCTTGATCCCTCAACACAAATATGAGAATCACAGGAGAATCATGTGCTCGAGCCAAAAAGAACGTACAAGCTTCATGACACCAAGCTTCATAACTTTGACGCTTTGGAGACCCTTCTAACCCTTCTACCCAAGAGTGCACCATTCAAAATTCGCGACAATTGAAGCACATGATGCGGCCTTGTATGGAAAAACCATCACCACATCTGAAGGTGGCAATTTCCTCTGTGTCTGAGGCATTGGCTGCCTCAAACGTGTAGAATCGACTCAAGAGCGCTCTGAAGATGTGTCAAGTGACCGTCATGGATCGGCACTAAGCGCTAAGTGACCTGCCCTGCTACTGGGATGAAACCACCTGGCGAACCAGCTGGCGCAAGTGGTTCCAAGACCCCAACCGGTCGGACGGCCGACGGCCTGGCGTCTCAATTTGCGCATCAAATACAAAAGCCCTGGCACCTCCATGAAGATGTGCCTCTTCGTCAACATCTTCAAGTCCACTTCCTCTGGCCGCATCCTTGCTTGCAAAGCATGCCAAAGGCATCACCGATCCAAAGAATCTAAGTCAGTGGTCCCAAAAAACTCTGCAAAACACCTGATGGTGCTTTTCGTGAGGGCAACACATGGAAGATCTGGGTCTCCAACTCGCCGCGTTTTGTGAGCATCCTGCTGGAGGAGCTCCCGGGTCCTCCGCCATCACGGCAGAACATCGCGGCAGAACATCGCGGAGCTCGCGGAGACGCGACTGAGGGGCCCACGAATGATCTCGCACAAAGGGCATCTCGTTTGCCTCGTTGGCCCAACGGTTTCGTCGTGGCGACAAAAGATCAAATGGAAAAGATCAAGTGGAAGATCACACACGATATATACTGTACGCAAAGACTGGTGGTGTTCTGCCATGGTGATGGGCTGGGGGAAAAAGAAGAATGCACTGGCCATGAATTGCTCTCATAGAAGCTACTAGTAGCAAGTGCATCGCTACTAGTAACAAGGGCATTACTACTAGTAACAAGAAGCTACTAGGTTGGAGGTCATCGCTAGTGAGTTGGAGACGCTCACCGAGGCAGTGGCTCGTCTTCGCGAGCCAGAGCTCGGGAGGATGCAGCGGAGCTAACGCCGCCCGCCGCGCCGGGTCAAAAAAAGGGGAGCTCTGCCTAATTGGTGTTCGATGTCTTTCTGTTTTAAGATTTTTGGACTGTTCCAATCTCTGGACTCATGTGGTTTGGACCCAAATGTAAGCCAGAAAGCCAAACAAGAGCGAAGGCAAGTCCTTGAATCGCTAAGGCAAGTCCTTCGCTGATCTCAAGACTCGCAACACTCACAGAGCAGTGAAACAGTGTGTCCGATGCAGTTGTGCCTTTCGAAGCAGTTGGTCCGATGCAGTTAGACGTTCTTTGGTCCAACTTCCAAATCCTGTTGAAGTCTCTTTGGACTTCTTTCGGACAAAAACCCTTGACCCCCTTGGCCCTCAGCGAGGGCCTGCGGCCGGGTTCTCAGTCAGCATGCAACCTGCCGGTCACGGCATCTCAGCAGCTAAGTCGGAGACCTTCATCTTGGGTGAAAAGATTAGTAATGGCCTCCAACCTAATAGCTATGGCCTCCAACCTAGTAGCGATGGCCACCCTAGTAGCTTCTTGCTACTAGTAATGCCCTTGTTACTAGTAGCGATGCACTTGCCCTTGGTCCAAAAAAGCGGTGGACCCAGTGGACCCAAACACCGAAGGCCCGAAGTCTCACCCCTCGCCTTTGCGGCGATGCAGGTCGCCCGTAGACTTGTGCACGGGGACCAAGGCTGGAAACGCCGTCTCGACCATCTGGCCTTGGACGGAAATCGAGAGAAAACATGAACTAATAGCTTCTTGCTACTAGTAGTAAGGCCAGGAGCCCCTGGTAGCGTCCTTGTTCCTAGTAGCGATGCCAGGAGCCCCTAGTAGCTTCTTGTTACTAATAGCTTCTTGCTACTAGTAGTAGGGTTAGGAGCCTCTGGTAGCGTCCTTGTTCCTAGTAGCGATGCCAGGAGCCCCTAGTAGCTTCTTGTTACTAATAGCTTCTTGCTTCTAGTAGTAAGGCCAGGAGCCCCTGGTAGGGTCCTTTTTCCTAGTAGCGATGCCAGGGGCCCCTAGTAGCTTCTTGTTACTAATAGCTTCTTGCTGGCCAGGAGCCCCTGGTAGCGTCCTTGTTCCTAGTAGCGATGCTAGGAGCCCCTAGTAGCTTCTAGCTTCTTGCTACTTGTAGCAAGGCCAGGAGCCCCTGGTAGCGTCCTTGTTCCTAGTAGCGATGCCA